TCACTTGTCGACTTGTCACCTTACCAAACATCATATCACACTTTACTCACCTTTCCCAACAGCAATATATTATCACATTTACTAACTCTTTCCCAACAGCAATATATTATCACATTTACTAACCTTTCCCAACAGCAATATATTATCACATTTACTCACCTTTCCCAACAGCAATATATTATCACATTTACTCACCTTTTCCTAACAGTAATATATTATCACATTTACTCAACTTTCCCAACAGCAATATATTATCACATTTACTCACCTTTCCCAACAGCAATATATTATCATATCAACTCACCTTTCCCAACAGCAATATATTATCACATTTACTCACCTTTCCCAACAGCAATATATTATCACATTTACTCACCTTTTCCTAACAGTAATATATTATCACATTTACTCACCTTTCCCAACAGCAATATATTATCACATTTACTCACCTTTCCCAACAGCAATATATTATCATATTTACTAACCTTTCCCAACAGCAATATATTTTCACATTTACTCACCTTTCCCAACAGCAATATATTATCACATTTACTCACCTTTCCCAACAGCAATATATTATCACATTTACTAACCTTTCCCAACAGCAATATATTATCATATTTACTCACCTTTCCCAACAGCAATATATTATCACATTTACTCACCTTTCCCAACAGCAATATATTATCACATTTACTCACCTTTCCCAACAGCAATATATTATCACATTTACTAACCTTTCCCACAAGCAATATATTATCACATTTACTAACCTTTCCCAACAGCAATATATTATCACATTTACTAACCTTTCCCAACAGCAATATATTATCATATTTACTCACCTTACAGAACAGCATGATATTATCACATTTACTCACCTTCCCAAAACGATACATTTTATGTAAAGTACCATTATCTAATGCTGAAGGTATCTTTCTAGTATAATCTTTGTGAAATATTTCAATATCCACATCTTTCATCTGATAGTCTAATTCACATTGCCTATACCAACCTATCAATATATCATAAACAAAATTGTCTGAATTGCTGAAAACCCATCAGATGACTGGAATAACAACATTATCAGTTAGAGGACAAAATTCTGGGTCATGTTAATATCAGATGACTGGAATAACAACCTTATCAGTTAGAGGACAAAATTCTGGGTCATGTTAATATCAGATGACTGGAATAACAACCTTATCAGTTAGAGGACAAAATTCTGGGTCATGTTAATATCAGATGACTGGAATAACAACCTTATCAGTTAGAGGACAAAATTCTGGGTCATGTTAATATCAGATGACTGGAATAACAACCTTATCAGTTAGAGGACAAAATTCTGGGTCATGTTAATATCAGATGACTGGAATAAGAACATTATCAGTTAGAGGACAAAATTCTGGGTCATGTTAATATGATCTCTATTAATACAGCAGAAAGATCTAATGTTGAATTTTTAATACAGCAGAGAGATCATCTTTAATGTTGAATTTTTAATATAGCAGAGAGATCATTTTTAATGCTGAATGTTTAATATAGCAGAGAAATCATCTCTAATGTTGAATTTTTGTTTGCACTTTTGTTTCTAAATTGACTTTTTTGACCGACCGTACATTAGTCTCAGATAAAGGAATTTTTTTTTAGCTAAGCCAATCAGTAATTGTGTTCC